GAAGTAGGACATAGCAAGGACACCCTCCAACCATCCACAAAAAATGTATGAGTTGGCAACACATTTCTGTTATCAGTTTCAGATTACAGGCGTGGTTTTTAGAGCAAAGAGAAGTGCACCTAGCCAACCAACAGTCACTTAGTACTGTTTGTTTTAGTAAGTGTTTTACGGCACTTGCAACACAATACGGTCATACAAGTGCCGAAGATTAGAGGTGTAACAAGAGAGTAACAAACACAATGAAGGAAGAGAGATATAAGGATGATCGACGTTAGGAAAGAAGGAGCAAACCACAGCAGAACACCACCCCAACCATCCACTCACTTAATACTAGGAAAGAGTAAGACGAATAGAAACAACATAGGGATTTTTTTTTTAAGTAGGCCCAGAACAACCTACTTAGGGAACCTAAACAAATGGGTAACTGGGAAAGATCAGGGAAACGTAGCTTTTTTAAGAACATCCGAGCAAAGGAATGAATGGAGAACCATGATCGCCGATGTCTGTCGCAGATCTGGCACTGGATGATGATGAGGACCTACCAGTGATAAGCTCCAACTACCTACTTCAGCACTTAGGATTACTCAAACATGGCAGATTACTCAAACATGGCATCCAGGCCCAATGAGAGAAAGAGAACAACAACGGAAGGAAAGAAGAAAACAGCAACAGTGGATGAACACGAGGAGAAACAGCAACAGTGGATGAACACGAGGAGAAACAGATTTCATCAATACCACAGCCATGGTTGATGAAAACGACGAGTTCTTTTTTTTTTCAAGTATTTTAAGGAACTTGCAACACAATAAGGTCATATAAGTGCCGAAGATTAGAGATGTTACAAGGCACAAGGGAGTAACAAACACAAAAAAGGAGGAGAGATAAGGACTATAAATATTTGATAGGAAAGAAGGATCAAACGACACCAGAGCACCTGTCACCCACCCACTACGAGTCCATTGAGGGGTCACTCACCTGGAGGTCATTCTGCGGGTTCCAGTCCGAGTCGTAGATGACCACCGTGTCGGCAGCCGTCAGGTTGATCCCCAGACCCCCGGCCCGGGTACACAGCAGGAAAGCAAAACGGTCGGAATCGGGCTTCGAGAAGCGGTCGATGGCTTCCTGGCGCACCGTTCCCCTGATGCGACCGTCCAGTCGCTCGTACAAGTACCTGGCACAAATCATTTTAGTTTTAGTAGAGGGTTTTACTGCGCTCGCAACTGGGTATGGTCATATGAGCAGTAAGGGGTGGATGTCAACAGAGAAGTCCTTACAGGGAATCAGACTTACTCTGCTCACCTCTCTAGCTTCAACAGCACAAAGTCTGCTTCGACTATCAAGGCACCCCTGAAATAGCAGGTCACAAGAGTGTGACAAACATACAAAAGAAGTAGAGGAAAATGACAATAGTAAGGATGAGGAAAGAAAAAGCCAGCAGTTCCCTGTTGTAGTTAAGGCACAGTTATGAGAATGACATTATTGGATCAGCCCATTTACAATTTAGAACGAGAAATGTCCCCCCTTTGGGAATGGCCTAAAGACACTTCAGTCAGTGGCACCGCCCGGGGGATTAGGGCACATGGAATGTGGAGAAAAGTCACACAGAAAGGCGTACAGAAAAGTGGGGAGAGGTGGAATAACATCAAGAGGCAACACCTGGACAGTGAAATGTGGGAAGAGTTTCTGGCCTATACCCTGATGTAGGATGAAAAAGGCACTGATGATGGTGATGACGACGATGAATGCTGGTGACATTTTATGAGAAGAAAACAAGGAGCTTGGGGGGGGGGCGCGCATGGTTAAGGTGCGGTGAGAGCGTGGTGAGGGCGTGGTGGGGGCGTACTTGCGCTGGATGAGGTAGTCCTCTATGATGTCCAGGACACGGATCATCTGTGAGAAAATGAGGACTTTGTGGCCGGAGGTCTTGAGGCGCGGCAGAAGTTTATCCATCAGCACCATCTTCCCGCTCGACTGGATCATCGACTTGAGCATCATGTCTGGCTCGTCCGGCTTCTTCTCTCGAGCCTCTTCCAGAATCTTCTCTTCCGCACCTGAATATATCAATAATAAATGCACACAAATTAGTCACATGGATGGTTTTAGCTTTAGTAAGAGTTTTACGGCACTTGCAACACAATAAGGTCATATAAGTGCCGAAAATTAGAGGTGCTACAAGAGAGTAACAAACATAAAAAAGAAAGAAGGGAGATAAGGACGATAGATGTTCCATAGGAAAGAAGGAGCAAACCACACCAGAGCACCCGCCAACCACACACCATCGTCAACTATACAGAACACTTTGATCATACAGAGGTTTTACTGTATCTTCAACTATAAAGAACCCTTTGATCATACAGAGGTCCTACTGTATCTTCCAACTATAAAGAACACTTTAATCAAACGGAGGTTTTACGGTATCTTCAACAATACAGAACACTGATCATACAGAGGTTTTACTGTATCTTCCAACTATAAAGAACACTTTAATCAAACGGAGGTTTTACGGTATCTTCCACTATACAGAACACTTTGATCATACAGAGGTTTTACGGTATATTCAACTATACAGAACACTTTGATCATATGGAGGTTTTACTGTATCTTCAACAATACAGAACACTTTGATCATACGGAGGTTTTACAGTATCTTCAACAAAACACTTTAGAGCAGCTGGTACCGTTGATGAGGAAGGGGTGGTTGCAGCACTTCCTCAGCTCCATCATGGTGTTCATGAGGTTGGGCACATTGCTGACTGTGCCCTTGGACAGGAAGGCAAAGTTGCGCTCCAGGATGGCGCGGTAGTACTTCTTCTGGATGTTGGTCAGCTCCACCTCGATGATCGTCTCCTCCTTGGGCGCAAGGTTTTTCTCCACGTCTTCCTTCAGACGCCGCAGCATCATGGGCTTCAGGATCTGGACAACAGGACATGGCAACAGGTCATTGTTAGTTTCAATCCTGGATATTTATTACATGTGTGTGTGTGTGTGTGTGTGTGTGTGGGGTGGAGGAGGGGGGGTGTGAGACTTTTATGGCACCCGCCAACCACCCACAGTTCACGTTTCCATCATGGTTTGCCCCCCATCACCTACAGTAGATGTTTCCACAATGGTTTGTGTTGGTCCGAATAAGGTGTAGTAAATTGACAAAATAATGCTGATTTTTGGATCGGAAAAAGTGAGACAAACAGACAGACAAAGGCAACACAGGAAGAGAAAAACGTGACCAACCAGTGACACCCTTCAACCACCCAGACAGAAACAAGAGAGAGAAAAAGAAGTAGGATCAACTGGGGGCACCCTCCAACCACCTCCAACATGTTCTTGAACACAGGAATAAATCTGTACTACGTGACTCACACACACACAACATACCACAAAGACATCCACACACACTCCTATAAATCTTCCTAGTCTTTACCTTCCTGGGTTGTTTTTTAATAAAAATCAATTTTCCACCTACAGAGCAGGCGTTTGCTTTGAAAGACTGAACACACAAAAATTATTGATTCACTGCAACAAGACAGCAAAATTGAAAATTGCATATGATAAAAATGCCCCACCCCCCAAGAAAAAAGCGTAAAGTATATTTATACCGTATAAACTTCTTATAAAAACAATCTTGCAAGTTCTCCTAAAGCAATGTTCAAAATAGAGTTCAGTGAGGTCAATTGTTAGGATGATGAATAGAGTTCAGTGAGGTCAATTGTTAGGACGATGAATAGAGTTCAGTGAGGTCAATTGTTAGGACGATGAATAGAGTTCAGTGAGGTCAATTGTTAATACGATGAATAGAGTTCAGTGAGGTCAATTGTTAGGATGATGAATAGAGTTCAGTGAGGTCAATTGTTAGGATGACGAATAGAGTTCAGTGAGGTCAATTGTTAGGATGACGAATAGAGTTCAGTGAGGTCAATTGTTAGGATGATGAATAGAGTTCAGTGAGGTCAATTGTTAGGACGATGAATAGAGTTCAGTGAGGTCAATTGTTAGGATGATGAATAGAGTTCAGTGAGGTCAATTGTTAGGATGACGAATAGAGTTCAGTGAGGTCAATTGTTAGGATGATGAATAGAGTTCAGTGAGGTCAATTGTTAGGACGACGACTTCAACGTTAGCTTACTGCCTTTCAGTCCCAACAAGCATTGGCATTTGAGAAAATCAGAAATGTTCTTTGAAACATTGGAGCAATCTATAAATTCACTTAAACAATTCTTGTTCTAAGAATGATGTACCTGATGCATACCATTCAAGGACAACTCAAGACTCAATGTCACGCCTACATCAACCTCCACAAACGGTGCACCGTGTATACGTCTACAGTTGGGTTGGGTTTTTTTGTAATTGCTTTATGGCACTTGCAACACAATACGGTCATATAAGTGTCGAAGAATAGAGGTGTTACAAGAGAGTAACAAACACAAAAAAGAAGGAGGAGAGATAAAGACGATAGATGTTTGATAAGAAAGAAGGAGCAAACCACAACAGAGCACCTGCCAACCACCCACCTACAAACAGAGCACCGTGTACACGTCAACAAACAGTTTTAGTTTTAGTAAGAGTTTTAAGGCACTTGCAACACAAGGTTATATAAGTGCCGGAGATTAGAAGTGTTACAAGAGACGAACAAACACAAAAAAAGGAGAATTTAATGAGAACGATAGATGCTTGACTGGAGCAAACCACACCAGAGCACCCGCCTACGAATGGTGCATCGTGAGAAAACCTCAACAAACGGTGCACTGTGCATATACCTCTACAAAGGTGCACCGTGCATATACCTCAACAAATGGTGCACCATGTAACCTCTACGAAGGTGCACCGGACATACACTTCCACAAACGGTACACCGGACATACCTCTTTCAGAGCCCCGACTTGCTCCTCTGTCTTGAGGTCCCCAAACTCCTTGACAAAGCTCTCCGAGCTGTTGAACTTGTTGGGGCTGAGGAAGTTCAGCAAGCTGTACAGCTCCTCTGTGTTGTTCTGTAGGGGCGTGCCTGTCAGTAGCACACGGTGCTCCTGGGAACCAGGCCGAGAGAGAGAGAGATGAGAAAATACAGTCTTTTTTAGTTTTAGTAAGTGTTTTACGGCATTTGCAACACAATAAGGCCATACGTAAGTTCCGAAGATTAGAGGTGTTACATGAGAGTTTTTTGTTTTTGTAGAGGTTTTACGGCGCTCGCAACACAATAAGGTCATATAAATGCCGAAGAATAGACTACATGTTACAAGAGAGTAACATAGAGGAAAAACAAGGAAGGGAGATGAGGATGATAGATGTTTGATAGGAAAGAAGGAGCAAACCACACCAGAGCACCCGCCAACCACCCACAGAGAGAGACATGAGAAAACAGTCAGCAGGTCACAGTTTTAGTTTTAGTAAGAGTTTTACAGCACTTGCAACACAATAAGGTCATATAAGTACCGAAGATTAGAGGTGTTACAAGAGTTTTAGTTTTAGTAGAAGTTTTACAGCGCTCACAACTGCATAAGGTCATATGAGCGCAAGAAAAAGGAGGGGAGATAAGAACGATAGATGTTTGATAGGAAAGAAGGAGCAAACCACACCAGAGCACCCGCCAACCACCCACAGAGAGAGACATGAGAAAACAGTCAGCAGGTCACAGTTTTAGTTTTAGTAAGAGTTTTACAGCACTTGCAACACAATAAGGTCATATAAGTACCGAAGATTAGAGGTGTTACAAGAGTTTTAGTTTTAGTAGAAGTTTTACAGCGCTCACAACTGCATAAGGTCATATGAGCGCAAGAAAAAGGAGGGGAGATAAGAACGATAGATGTTTGATAGGAAAGAAGGAGCAAACCACACCAGAGCACCCGCCAATCACCCACTAGGCAGGTCACAGAGACATGACATAATATGATATATCCTACCGTACTTCGGGGCATATGGAGCTATTGGTATCATCTTAAAGTTTGTTTTATTTGTCTCGCTTTTGATGAAAAAAAAAATAGCTATACATCTTGAGAAGAAGTTGATGTAATAAATATCCAGGAATGAAAGAGCTGAGGGGTGGCCTGGTGTCAGAGGTAAAAACTTGCAAGCTACAATGTCCTGGGAAATCGCAAGTCTATATAATTTGGTTAATAATAATAATAATAAATGACATTTATTTGTATAGAGCTCAACCCCGATTCAAGTACACAGGCTCTGAGCGCTTTACAATACAGTACAACGAATTCAAGTACACAGGCTCTGAGCGCTTTACAATACAGTACAACGAATTCAAGTACACAGGCTCTGAGCGCTTTACAATACACTACAACCAACAACAGTAACAGAAAACCTGTTCTGACTAAAAGAAAATCACTCCAAATATTCATCTTATTGATTTAAAAACTGAAACAAACTGAAATGACTTCAGCTGTTGAGCCTTTAATCAATGGGTTTTTTTATGTGAAATACAAACAGAAATGTGTTTTTAAATGGACATAAAAGGCGTTTTACCAAAAAATAAAAAATCTGATTAAAATTACCCAACAGGCAGAAAATTCCAATTTTTTCATGTTTTCAGGTTTTTAGTGTGCTGGGGGAGTACTTGATTTCACCAGGATGCCACACACACACATACACATACAGAAACACACACGCACAGAAACAGACACACGTGCACGCACACACACACAGAAACTGACAGACACACATAAAAAAACACACACACAGAAACAGACACACACACACACACACACGCACACACACACAGAAACACAGACACACATACACACACACACAGACACACACCAACAGACACACACCAACACACACGCACGCGCACACGTGCGCGCACACACCAATACACACACACGAGCTGTGCCCCACTCACCAGGTCAAAAAGACGGAGCCCCTCCAGCAGGCGACAGTTCTTGTTCTTGAGCCTATGTGCACATACACATACACACACACACACACACACTACACTACACTCACTATACACACACACACACACACTACACTACACTCACTATACACACACACACACACAAATGAGCTATACCCCACTCACCAGGTCAAAAAGACGCAGCCCCTCCAGCAGGCGACAGTTCTTGTTCTTCAGCCTATGCGCCTCGTCAATGATGCAGCACCGCCAGTCGATGTCGGCCAGAAGGTCAAAGTCCGTGAGGATGATCTCGAACGTGGTGATGAGCGCCTCGAAGCGGTAGATATCCGGGATCCTCTGACCCTTGTCGTCCTTGTAGAAGAGCTCGTACTCCTTGATCATGTTTCGGCTCATGGTGGTGCCGTGGAAGACCACAACGTTCATGTCCGTCCACGTCTCGAACTCGCGCTGCCAGTTGCCGATGGTAGAGAGCGGCGCGATGACCAGGAAGGGTCCCTTGATGCCGTAGCGGTAGATCTCGTTGAGGAAGGTGATGCTCTGGATCGTCTTGCCCAGCCCCATCTCGTCGGCCAGGATGCAGTTCTGGCCGTTGTACCAGCAGAAGCTGAGCCAGTTGACGCCCTCCAGCTGGTACTCCCGCAGCGAGTTCTCGCTCTTGTACACGGGCGTCTCCTCCAGCTTCTTCCACTGGCCGGGCCGCGGGCGAGCAAACACTTTACGCTGGTCCTCGGCGGGCGCCTCGCGGAACCGCATGAACATCTCCACCTTCTTTGGGTCGACGTCCTGCGACAGCTCCCAGGTGGCCTCCTCGTAGGACAGCGCCCGCCACTTGACCAGGTAGTGCCGCGTCTCCTGCTCCGTCTCCGGGTCGGTGGACACGATCATGTCAAGGACGCGGTCCACTTCCACGTAGTCAGGGTTAAACAGGTCCTCGTCCTCCTCCTCCAGATAGCTCTGAGCTTTCTTCAAACGAAATCGTTTAATCTTCCCGAGAACTCTCCGGTCCCCCCTCTCTAGCTCGGCCAGCGTCCTCCACTCACAATGAAGATGCGAGTAGTTTTTATATTTCACAAAGAACTCCTCCACTTCCTCCGTCTTTTTCGGAACAGAACTTTCCTCCTTCTTCTTCTCCTCCTCTGCACCTTCCTTTTCCTCCTTCTCCTCCTTCTTCTCTTCTTTTCCCTCCTTCTCCTCCTCAGTCTCCAGCTTCCTCCTCCTCTCCCCCAGCACTTTGTCCACCAGTAGAGTATCCTCCTCCGTTTCTTTCTTCATGGCCACGGGGGCGTCTGTGGTCTCGCCGTCCTCCTGTTTCTCTTCCTCCGACAAGTTGAGGTCAATGTCGTCGATGTACTTGGTCTTCTTTGTGTTCCTGGCCGACCGCCGCTTCTCCGTGTTGGGGTCGACCTCCACAGAGAGGTCACTCTCGCCCAGATTGAGCTCCGCGTCCGAGCCAGAGTTTTTCCTCTTGCGTTTCTTACCCTTCAACAACAGAGAGGCCGGCGTCTTCTTTCTCTTCGGTTTCAGTTTCAGAGTTTTGGGAGCCCGCGGTTTTTTCGTTTTCGGCACTTTGGGCTTCTCCACGAGGCCTCCCGTGTCGGGCGTGTCCCCGCTGGTGCCCGGCGTCTGGTCGGGGAAGGTCAGGGTCGACACGTTGCTCTTGTCCACGCTGGTATCCATAGCGCTGGTGTCGCTGGCCGCGGCCGTCGAGTCCCCGCTGTGGGTCGTTGACATGGCAGGGGTCGTGGTAGACACAGCCTCGGCCGAGCTGTCCTCACCTGCTGGTGCTGAACCCTCCCCCGCTGCGGCTGCTGCCTCTGCTGCTTCTGCTGCCGCCAACACTGCTGCCTCTGCTGCTATCTCCGCTTTTGTCTTGCGCTTCCGCACCCGGGGGGTTTTGGGTTTGGGTTCTTTCGGAGGTTTGGGCTCTTTGGGAGCCTTCGGGGCCCTCGGTTTTCTCGGTTTGGGTTCTTTGGGAGGTTTCGGCTCTTTGGGGGGTTTCGGGGGTTTGGGGGGTTTCGGCTCTTTCGGTTCTTTGGGCTCCCGAGGCTTCCTCTTTTTCTTCTCCTTGGGCGGCTGGGGCTCCCCATCAGGACCGATCTCTGGCGGTTTCTCCACCTTCGGTTTGCGCACTCGCTTCCTCTTGGGCTTCTCTCCCTGGCCCTCCTGCGCCTCTGCGATCTCCGTGATGGTGGTGGGCATGGAGTCCGACGAGACCACCATGGTGCCGGCCGTCATCTGTGAGCGTGAGGCGATGTCGCTGATCAGCTTGGAGGCGTTGTTCTCCGGGGTGTCCCCGAGCACGGGCGTGGAGGAGCTCAGCTCTTTGTCCAGCTTAATCTGGTCTAGCATGGGGATCTGGAAGCCATCCAGCTTGGGTGAGCTGATCTGTAGGCTGTCGGGGAACGAGGGGGCCGGGTCGATGGTCAGTGAGTCGGCCGGCTGGATGGTGACCAGGGGCGCCTTGGAGATGGACTTCTGCTGGCTTGTGTCAATCTGGCTGGTAGAACTAGGGCTCTGGAACACACAAATACACAAACAATTAGCCTGAGTGCAGAGAGGCACAACGACATTAAAACACTGATTTAGTGAAGGGGAAAAGAAAGCGAGACAGACAAGTAGACATATTTAATCTTAACTCTTTGAACCCCATCGGACACTGGGAGCGTCCAGTACTAGCGATAACTATTTCCTTGTATTTAGTGCTAGATTTTACTTGTTTTTCGGAACTATTTGTGAACTAACTTTTTCAGTAATGAGTAAGTCGTTGTTCCCACCATTTAGAAGTTGGAGGCAAGCTGTTGGGGTTATAATGAGACATCGTGCACTAGGTTCAGGTGACTGTAGAAAAAAACGCCAGGAAACGGTGGAAAAAACTCAGGGCTTAATAAAAAAAGAGGTAAGGCACTTGTTACTCAAATTGATCATAACTGGGAAAAAACCGACAATTGTAAAGTCCTGCCATACAGGGCGTGGCACACCTCTAATAGAACAGCTTTAAGACATATAGATTTTAGTTTTAGTAAAAGTTTTATGGAAGCTGCATCACAAATAGGTCATATTGGGGTGTTACTAGATCTAGGGGAGGTGTTCCATTAAGAGCGAACACTATAACATAGAGTATAGAATTGAGGGTTAGGGTTAAGGCTAAAGTTAGAATGTTATGGTTAGGATGTTGGTTTGGGTTAAGGTGTGGGTGTTGGTTAGGGATAGGGTCAAGAGTCCGGGTTAGGTCTCTTCTTTACTGTATTTGTTGGGGTGGTCGCTCGTTACAGAAGTCTTTCTGTTACTACAGAGTAATATACAAAGAAAAGTAGGAAGAGAGATATGGACGGTCAGGTTTTACGGCGCTCACAACTGCATAAGGTCATATGAGTGCCGGAAGATTAGAGGTGTTACAAGAGAGTAACAAACATAAAAAAGAACAAGGGGAGATAAGGACGATAGATGTTTCACAGGAAAGAAGAAGCAAACCACACCAGAGCATCCGCCAACCACCCACAATAGATGTTTGATAGAAAGAAGGAGCAAACCACATCAAAGCATCCGCCAACCATCCACTTTACAGGGTGTGCAAAATCCTCACAAGAGCGCTTTCCGACGTAATTCCGCGTTGAAAACAATCAACTACACCCAAATATCCATCCACAGACCCAGCCAGCGAGTCCGCAAAGCACGACAGGAAGCCCCCACACTCACCGTAACACGCGGTATTTGTGACTGGGTGGAGGCATGTGGCAAGAACGTCACTCTCCCCAAAAGCTCGGCTGTGTGAAAGTTGTTCCCTTGACTCTGTCCCACTCACAACACACAGAGTTCAAGAAAACCCAACTGACAAAAGCGTATGTCACAGTTTGGGTGGCAGTCTGAGCTCCACACTGGACACACAGAATACAACATGGGGGGGTGGTGGGGAGGCCAGATATTCACACTCAAAGGGGTGTGAGAAAGGTTAGAAAGTGAGAAGGTTCCAATGAAAGAAAAAAGACTGGAAGGGTGGGGTTGGGTTGTAAGAGAGGGAGGGGGTAGGGTGTAAGAGAGAGAGGGGGGGGAGAGAGAGAGAGTTCTCTACAATAAATACATTGAAACAAACATTTTAAGTTGAAAAGTTCCAAAAAACATTTGTTTATTCTTTTTTCTTTTTTTTT